CTTGCAGTAGCTGCCTCTTTCAGCTATGAAGGAAATACTTCTGAATGCTTAACTTGTTTCTCAATGTGGGGTTTACTTTTGATCCAGTTTATCATCTGTTATAAGGAAAGATCAGTGTGAGATGATCTGTCTACAAGAGGAAGATCTGTTAGGACACTTTTGAGGCAAGGCAGGCAGTTTCTTAGCAGCAGACACTGAAAAGGCTGGGCAACAATTCAGGTACACCATGGCAGGGAACAGTTTCTTAAATATCCTTCCGTCGTCTCCAGTCACATGTGACACCAACATATTATATTTCTCTCTTTGAACACTGACAATGTTTCATGTGTTTCCCACTGCCTACTGTTCCACAGCTGCCACCATTTAACAAAAAAATGCAAGGGGGCAAAGTCGAATCGGTCTTGGAGGGTGGATCATTAGTTGCCAGCTGGTAGTCACTGTATGGGTTGGGTTTTTTCATAGTTAGCTTCCTTATTGTTGCAGAGTCATAGAATCATAGAATAGTTTGGGTTGGAAAGGACCTTTAAAGATCATCTAGTCCAACGCCCTGCAATGATCGGGCTGCTCAGAGCCCCATCTGACCTGACCTTGAATGTTTCCACGGATGAGGCATTTATCACCTCTCCAGCCAACCTGTTCCAGTGTTTCACCACCCCCATTGTAAAAATTTCTTCCTTCTATTTAGTCTACATCTACCCTCCATCAGTTTAAAACCATTACTCCTTGCCCTATCACTACAGACCCTACTAAAAATTTTTCTCCATCTTTCTTATAAGCCCCCTTTAAGTATTGAAAGGCCACAATAAGGTCTCCCTGGAGCCTTCTCTTCTCCAGGCTGAACAACCACAACTTCCTCAACCTGTCTTTATAGGAGAGGTGCTCCAGCCCTCTGATCATCTTTGTGACCCTCCTCTAAACCTGCTCCAATGGGCCCATGTCTTTTCTGTACTGGGGCCCCCAGAGCTGGATGCAGTACTCCAGGTGGGGTCTCACAAGAGCGGAGTAGAGGGGCAGGATCACCTCCCTCGACCTGCTGGTCACACTTCTTTTGATGCAGCCCAGGACACGGTTGGCTCTCTGAGCTGTGAGCGCGCATTGCTGGGTCATGTCCAGCTTTTTATCCACCACTTTCCCCAAGTCCTTCTCCTCAGAGCTGCTTTCAGTACCTTCATCTCCCAGCCTGTCTTGATACCAGTGGTTGCCCTGACCGAAGTGCAGGACCTTGCACTTGGCCTTGTTGAACCTCATGAGGTTCACATGGGCCCTCTTCTCAAGCTTGCCCAGGTCCCTCTGGAATCAAGACAAAAATCACTCCTAAAGAGGAGATTGGTCAGATTCAGGGTAAATACTTTTCACTGTAATAAAACCAAAATAATAGCTAATACATAGCATTAATCCTCAGCTCTCCTCTTCTTTTCCACTGTGTATTAACAGTAAACCAGTTATTTTTATCTGAAACTGAGGAATTAACTTCACTCAAAAAAGGTGAAACACATCCCTCATCCATTCAGCTTCCTTCCAGAACAGGAACAATGGTAACACCCTCATCCGATGCATCACCATCATTCACCACACCTCAGCTGCTTTGTAGCTGTTCTCATTCTTTTTTGTAAATTTAACACCTCAGGAGAAGCTGTCTTCTTCCTGGCACTCAGCTTTTCCAGGTTTCATGTTTAGCTGAGAATTGTCACAGGAGGCTGGTGCCTTCCAACACAGAAATTCTCTTGCCTCTCTTTTCGGATGCAAGAGGCCACAGTAGGCTATTTACTCCTGCATCTTATAAGTACACTGACAACATATGGCTTAATTTTTAGTTCTCTGTGCATAAGATACCTTTTTTTGCTTTGGGATATGCCTTGAAGATTGCAAACCAGCATTGGTTGACTGCAGCTGTGGTGTTAGCTTCCAGCTATCATAAATCAATGTTGAATATCGTGGAACCATCAGCTTCTGAGTCAGCCTTAAAACTCATCCTGCAGAGCGCACCTTTAAATTAACTCTCAAGCAGGCCCTGAGTCACTTTCATGGTCCAGCAACCTCAGAGAAAAAGTTTTGTCTTTGCCATTGCCTTCTGTACTGACCTGAGGCGATAAAATACTGAAGAAAATGTTGAATTTCTTTCCAGCCACAGAGACTCCCTCAGGTGGGACAGCATGGGGCACACTGCTCTCCTTCTTCTTCTGCTCTCCTCCAGGAGGAGAGAGGTGCATCATTTAAGCTGGACTGTTACTGGGCTGATAACATCATGCCAGGCAGACATTAAGCTTGGTTGACAAAGCCTTAAAGCACTAAACTGCCTGAGACGGGGCGATGTTTGGGGGGAAGCTGGAGGAGACAGTAGAGAAGGAGACTGTGTTTTCCCTGTTTTCTCACTGTGGATGTCTCTTTTGCCCCTTGGCAACACAGTCGAGTGTGCCTGGGACAGCCCTCCCCAAAAGGCAGGCCCCAAAAATGCAGCACACAGCCAAGTACCATGCCAGCTGGGCTGGCACTGCCCCCCGGTTGCCATAGCAAGCTGGGCAGGGTCAGCACGCTTAGGCTTTCAGTGCATCGTTCCTTCATAGTTATACAGTTAATGTAGTTACGCGGATTTTCTGTTTCAACTTCTCTTACCTCTCTGTCTGTTTTATTCCCATCACAGCTCCCTGTCAAATTCTCATTGTCTCCCTTCAAACTTCCACCCATGCGGCCACCCCAAACAGATTTTTAATGACAGCTTCAACTACCTCCCTTTCACTGTGCTGGTGCTGACAGAAACCTGCTCTTTTACAGGTTACATGCAAGTGGGTATTAAGCATTCACCCAAGAGGTATGGAGCTACTCTGTAGCCGTGGGCTTGCTGTTGAGGAGATGATTGCTGGGGGGCATCTTGCTTTCATGTATTCCATAGAATAGCACAGGAACCCCAACACGGAAGAGCTTTCTGGCTGGTGTAACTGTACGTGAGGACGTACTGCACTGAGAACCAGGGATCATTAGCTGGATAACATAATGGTGTGGCAAGTTTTGAGGTTAACCTTATCTTACGTATCAGAAATTATTTTTTTATTGATACAGAAGTCAAGATACAAATAATGAGTGCCCGAGAGGATATGGTTATGGATGAGACAACAGTGAGATTGAGTGAATCTGCGCTTGCTATTTCACATAATTTCAAGTTAGCACTCAAAGAAAATAGAAATTTGCTGCATTGCCACTGACAGCAAATTTAAGTCAAGTTAAGCCTGTATCGCTC